CATGACTTAGTCAATTACATTTGCTCATAAAAATCTTTTGCCATTTCAACAAGTTTTCAGTGGCAGAGGAGGAGCCATTCTTTCATCTTTCATAAAAACAAAAACAACAAAAAAAACTTGTAGAAAACATTGTCTGGCTGCTCCTGTTTAGGCAGAGTATGGAAATCAAAAGTTTTATTTGAATCAGAACTAGCAAATGATCTGAGCAGTTCTTTCTGAAAGTCAACAAGGAAGACAAGAACATAGATTTATTAAGTGCTTACTTTACAGACAAGCACTCTGCCAAGACAATGTGAAAAGACAAAAAGTGTAAAGGGGCTCGTATTCTAACAGGAGAGAGAACTTAAACATAGACAGATGTGAATACAAAGTAGTTTTGGTAGGGAGTGTCCTAATAGTTGAGGGATCAGTAAAACCTTCATGTGGCCATTGAACTTAGTTTCAACTGGAACCAGGAAATCCAAGCAGTGGAGTTAAGGAGGAAGAGCATTCTAGGCATGAGGGAGCAAAGTGGGAGAGACCAGAGGGAGGTAAAGCGGGAGAGTACACAGAATGTATTCAAGGCATTTGGGAGCAGAGCAGGAGAGCACAGGGGAGCTGAGGAGAGAAAATAGCCCAGGTATGGGGATGCTAATCCCAGTCAAAGGCATGGAAATTAGAGATGAATAATTCTGCATGCAGAACAGGGCACAGGCCAGTAAAGCTGGCCTGTAAAGCAGAGTTCAAGATGGGGAGTAATGCATTGTGGTTCATCCTTTGCTCTTGAAGAGAACTGATGACATCACAAGTGTGTTGTCTTGACTTGCTAGTGAACTAAACTTGGGTGAGGCAGAGTCAAGTCAAGTCATCAGCCTAGCTCTCTCCTCCAGAGTCTTTGGAGTCCAGTGGCCAGACAAAGGTCAAGACAACTGGTGATGGCCTAGGATGCAGGGGGTGACCTTGGTCTTTCTAAATTAAGGTCTATCCCTGATAACATATAAAAAGATTGGAAAGATGGACCAATCAGACAATGTCTTCTTTCTGGGCCAGGATGTGAAGAAATTTAAACGTCAAACAGAAGTGCTTATATTTGATTCCAGAGAGGCTACTGTAATTTGTTGAGTAAGGCTGGGAGTAGGGTGCAGATGATCATGGCCATGAGTTTTAGGAAAGTCATTTGGCAGTTGTATGGAGGACAGATTGAACAGGAGAGAAACTTGAGGCAGGGAGACTAAATAGGAAGCTAATGAAGTAGTTCAGGTGAAAGGAAATAGAGGCCTGGACTGAGGTGATGTCTGTGACATAGGTAAGCTGTGCAGGAATCATCGCTTTATATATGAGCACGGTGAAGCACAGAGAAATGACTTGCTCATGGTCAAACAACTACTAAGTACCAGAGTTAGCCCTGCTCCTCTCCATTCTAGCCTGCTGTGGAACTTGGAGGTTCCCAGAGATGAAGCTGACTAGTCATCATTGCTAAAAGCAATGTAACTTTATTAATGGAAAATTTTCACACACACACACACACACACACACACACACACACACACACGAAAAGCATAAGGTCTAATTTGAGACACCTAAGGCTATCAGGTTGAGGCAAGGTTAAGGGGGTCTAAGGTAAAGGACAGACAGCTAGATCACAGTCTTCAGACACAATAGATGTAATAACATAATCACAGTCACAAGAAGAGACACAGACAGATAAAGGGCCCTTCTGATATGCAGATAAGATGGTCTTTAGAAAATTAAAATCAATTTAACAGGATTTATTAAGTGAGTATTATATATAAGGCACCTTACTGGGCAATGGGGATATAGAGACAAACACCAAGAGTCATCATATTCTACCATGGGAGGAAGGAAATGATAATGTGTACATACAAACTAAATATACTCTCTCTCTCTCTCTCTCTCTCTCTCTCTCTCTCTCTCTCTCTCTCTATATATATATATATATATATATATATATAATATATACACATATATACATACACACACACACACACAACACACACACACACATATACATATATATGTGGTGTAGTGAAGTATGTTGAGTTTAGAATCAGAGGACTTGAATTCAAATCCTGGCATGTACTTCCCATCTGAGTGACCATGGGTAATTCACTTAACCTCTCTGGGCCTCAGTTTTCCTTATCTGTAAAATAAGTGTACTGAGATGACCTCTGAAGTCTCTTCCCATTGTAGAGCTATGAGAAGTGGATAGGGATTGGACCTGTGATTTCACTAGTATAAGGAGCTACCTGTCAGGTGAGGAAACTAATCCCTATCAATGCAGGTCTGCATCTTCTCTACAACTGAGTCTTACAGAGTTGCCTAGGGAACTAAGGGTGGTTATTTGCCCAAGGTCACACAGCCAGTGTGAGAAATAGGACTTCTTCCCAGCTCTAAGCTCCAGCTCTCTATCCACTACTATTCATTCATTCATTAACACATGCTAGTGTTGGGAGGGGGCAGATGAGAACACTAACCAGTGGGATGATCAGGAAAGGCCTTTTGTAGGAAGACACACTTAAGGGGAGGCTTGGAAGGAGCTAAGGATTCCACGACATGGACTTATGGAGGGAAGAACATTCCAGATTAGGGAGACTGCCTCTGGAAAGGCAGGGAGGCAAGGGAAAGAACCCCATGGGCAAGGAACTGCCAGTAGGCACCTTTGGTTTAAGCTCAGAGTGTGTCAGAAGGAATAATGAACAATTAGTCTAGAAAGTAGGCTGGGGTGAGACTGTAAAGGTCTTTAAATACCAGTTTATCCTACAGGCAATAGGAAGCCACCGAAGATTCTTGAACAAGGGAGTGATATGGTCATACTAGTGCCATCAGACTGTCTGTTTGGTAGCTGTATCAGAAGATGTATTTAGAAGGGAAATTCTGGAAGTGGAGAGACCAATCAGGAGGCTTTGGTAATAGTCCAGCCAAGAGCTGATGAAGCTCTGAACAAAGTGGCTGTGCCAGTGGAGAGGAGGGGACATATGCAAGAGATATTAGGAAGTAAAAATTGAAAGGACTTGGGACCTGGATTGAGTGGCTTGATATAGGACTGAAGGAGAATGAATGAAGATTCTCATGCTGGATTGGTGAATGGAAGGATGGTAGTACCCTCACCAGAAAAAAAGGGAGCTTAAGACAAGGGTTGGGATAGGGAGGAAGATAGACATGCCTGTTTTGGGGCATATTGAAATTGTGATGTCAATGGCACATTCAGGTGTGAATGATCAGAATTCAGAAGCGATGCAGGACTGCTCTCATAACAGTTATGGTTTGATATGTAGAGGAAAGGAGGAAGCCTTTGATCTTGTTGGAGCCCTCTTTACCTGCCACTCAAGTTATAGCATTTAGTCATCTGAGGTCAGTATAAGATCACTCAGGTCCCACCTCACACAACAGACCAGCTCAGTGACCAAATGTGAAGGGCAGAGGCTTTATACTAAAGGGCGGGGTTGTTAACAGGTGTGTCTGATTGTCTTTTTGCCTCTGACATCACAAGCACAGAGCTGGCAGGGACTGGCTAGGATGCTGGAAGTTTCCAGGAAGGAAGATCCCAGGAAAAAAAGATCCCAGGGTCTATAGGCAAGACAGCTTACCGTAACTGGTATTTGAACCCTGGTTTCCTGACTCCTAAGTTTAGCACTCTTTCTGCCTACATCACATTGTCTCAATTCAATCCATTAAGTTTTATTAAGCCCGTACACACTATGTGCAAGACCCAGTGCTATGTCCTAGAGACACAAAGTACAGATAAATAAATGCAGGATTGTTTCAAGGAGTGGGAGAGGAATTCACAACTAAAGGAATCATGAAAGGTTTCCCATGAAAAGTGACACCTGAACTGACACTTTGAAGGAAATTAAAAATTCTAAGAGGCAAAGGTGAGGATACCCTGCATTCCAGGCCTAAGGGGAATACAGACAGCTTGTGTAAAGAAAGGTGTGAAGACAAAGGTTGGGAATGTCAAGTTTAGACAATAGCAAGTGGGCCCATTTGGCTGGAATGCAGAGGACATGAAGGTGAATGGTGTGTAATAAGTCTGAAAAGGGTAGCCTGGAACCAGATTGTGAAGGGCTTTCTTGAGCTGTTTACTTCATCTTGGAGGTAATTAGGGCTCCCTGAATATTCTTGAGAATGGAATCAACATGATCAGAACAATGCTTTAGGGAGATTATTCTGGCAGCTACAAAGAGAATGTTTGGAGAGGGGATAAAAGTAGAAGCAGATAAATCAATTAATAGAAAATTAAAATAGTCCAAATGAGAGATGATGAGAACTTGAACCAGGGAGTGATATGGTCATTCCGTTGCTATGAGAATATTAGCTGTAACAGAAGATGCATCTGAGAGGGGGAGATTCAGGAAGTGGGGAGACAGGAGGCTATCACAATAGTCTAGGCGTGAAGAGGGGATGGGCATGAGAGGATATAGTCTATGAGATACGAAAAATGATAGTTATGGAGCTGGAGGAAGAAGCAATCGATGATGGAGTCTGGTTGTGAACTACGGGGTTCAAGACTGAAAAATACTCAGTCTGGAAGGGGCATGGTTTCCAGCTTGTCTTGGTGTCATCAGCGAAGTCCAGCGCCTGGCACACAGTAGGCGTTTAACTGATTGACCCGTTGCCTGATTGGGGGAGGGGTAGTTAATGAGTTCCATTTAATAATCTATAATAATTTATCTGTAATTTGTAATCATTTAATAATCTATAATCTTAACACCGAGGCCCAGGTGGGACAGGTGGCTTGTCTAGGGTCACGGAGTGGGGGGGCGGGGTAACGGGGAGAGGAGGGGTTCGAACCCGCGGCCTCGGGGTCTGCACCCGCCCGTCTTCTCCCTGGACCTCGTGGACTCCCCATGTCCGCCCCACAGCCGGCCCACGCGCTCCCGCCTCCCGCGACCGACCGACCGACCGCCCCACGGCGCCTGTGATGGACCAGCCGCCCCGCTACTACGTCAGCGCCGCGCGCGAGCAGCCCCTCCTCCGGCCCGCGGCGCGCACGCGCCAGCTCGGAGCCGAGGCCGAGGGCTCGAGAGGGAGGCGGGACTTCCGATTTCCCCAAAGTTTTTAACCGGTTCGCGCGGGAGCCGGAAGTCGCGCTCTGGAGCGGGGTCCCGGACCGCGGACTCCGTCGCCGGCTTCCTAACTCTCAACCCCGGCGACGGAAAGGTGAGGCCCGGGCAGCGGCCCTGACAGGGGCGGGGTGCCCACCCACCGGCTCGTCCATCCCGTGACTCTTCTCTCCCCTGTCCGGGGCGTCGGAGGTCCCGGCGGGGGGCCGGGGGCGGTGCAGCCTCGTTCTGCCCCGCGCAGTCGCGTTCTCCTCCCCGTCCGTCCCCCCTCTCCCGACCCCCCGCCGTGGCCGGCCCTAGTGCGTGTGGGGGAGGGGAGGGGGGAGGGCCGGAGCGGGCCCTGACCGGAGGGTCTCGAGGGGGTCGCCTACGCGCTCCCGGCCCCCGAACCTTGTGCGGAGATGTTCTGCAGAAGCCCTGAATGCCGAGACTACCTGGTCCCGAAGTGCCCCGTGTGGGAAAATAAATCGCCTCCAAGGTGGTTTAAGGGCCAGCCCGGTCCGAGATAGAGGAGGGTGTAGAGGGGCCCCGGAGGGCTGGCTAACGGCCAGTGTGGGCATCAGCGCGGATCTAGAGCTGGGAGGGACCAGTTATTGAGCACCTACTGTGTGCGGGGCGAAGCGCTGGGGACGAGAGTAATCGTAAGAACTAACATTTATTAAGCGTCGACTATGTGCCGGGCACTGGGCTAAGCGAAGAGGATAGTTACCATAATAGCTAACATTATTACAAGGTGCACCTACTGTGTGCCGGGCACTGGGTTATGAATAATGATAGGTAACACTTATAGAGAGCATCTTCTCTGGGCCAGGTGCTGTGCTGAGTTCTGGGGCAGTAGATGAAGGCACGAAACCGTCCCTGTTCCCGAGGAGGTCACCATCTAATGAGCAAACAGATCAGGAAAGGCTTCCTATAGAAGGTGGGGTCTTGAAGGAGGCCAGGGAAGATTAGGAGGGAGAGCATTCCAGGCGTGGGTCTCCCTCATTTAACACATAGGTCACTTAGGATCATGGAAGTTAAATGACTTGCCAGACTCCTAGGTGGGTAGAACCAGAGCTGGAACCCTCTAGTCCAATCCCCTCATTTTAGAAATGAGGGAACTCTGTCCCAGAGAGGTTAATGAACCTCCAAGTTAGCCTAAGGTCACAATTTGAACTCAGGTCTTCATGATTCCAGGCCCAGCACCATTCTAACTTCCCAGGAGTAACCGAACCTCTCTGGGCCTGTTTCCCCATTTGTAAAATGAGAGCATTGTACTAGAGGGCCTCTAAGGTCCCATACAACTCTGGATCTTGATCCTGTGATTTCACCTGTAGGGAGTTGCTAGAGTTGTCTTTAGGTAGTTACTTGAGGGCACTGAAAGGTTGATTGGCTCATCCCTAGTCTCACAGCTGATATGCACCGGAGGCTCTTTATCAGTACTCAGCGCTTCTCCAGGAGATTGGATTTTGGATATTTCAGAGAGAAGTGTTTTCAGGGGAAGTTCTAGTACTGGGATGATTTTGTCTTCCTATTCCCTGGTGCGTGGCACATAGTGGGATACTGGAGGCGTCCTCATTCAAATTTGTTGAATTGAATCACAAGCCTTGAATAATTTTGTAACTGAGCTTCAGAAATGGGGGGCCAAATGAAGCCTTTACCACTTGGTAGAACTCACCGAAGGCTTATGCTCCACAGCAGCAACCTTCATATGACCCCCCCCCCCAAATTTGCCTCTGCTGCCTCTCTAACTCAGCAGGAGTGGTTGGTCCCCAAGCCTACACAGCCTGGGTTGTACCTGCTATAGAAGTCCTTTCCAGCATTCTTCCTCTCCCCCGCCCCCATATTTTTTCTCTGTCTCTAAATTACTTTGCAAAACTTTGTTTTGTATTTATTAATATGTTGTATTTGTATATCACCCAGTGACATACTGGTAAATGTTTAACAAATGGCTCCTCTTCAGTGTGCTTGTAACAACCTTTAAAGTTTAATTTCCATTATTAACATTTTCGTCATTACTTTCTTAAGTCCAGACAATTAACAAAACAATAAATCAAGCCCTGATTTGTAGTGTTTGGAAATTTCCAAGGTACAGATGTTCACAATGAGAATTTAACAATGGCTGGCTGGTTTGAGCTGGCTCTAGTCCTCCATTGCTGTCATCCCTCCCCCAGTGGAAGCTAGCTCCTTTGACTTTATTTCCCTTGGTGTTTACAATTCCTTGCAGAGCAGATGTTTGAGAAGTCTTGATTGAATTGTCGAATTAAAGAGCCCAGAGTTGCTTCCAAACAGGAGGCATCAAACTAGGACTTTAGTGGAGGTGACCTTCTAATAGATGTTCAATTCAATAATGCTTAATACGTATCGGGTCCTTTGCTAAGTGCCAAAGTCCAAAGCTTGAAAAGAGGACTTGGTCCTAGTCCTTGGGGAGACCCAGAAACATGGGTTCCAGAGATCTAAAAGGCCTTAGAAATCATCTAGACCAACATCTGTATTTTAGAGATGAAGAAACAAGTATAGAGAGCAGAAGTTGACAAGATCACACAGGGAGCAAAACCTTGACATTAGGCCTCTGCTAGTGGAATGACTCACAGATAGAAGCAGCGTGACTAGTAGGATTTTAGAGGTCTTTCCTGCTTAGTTACAGGTTCCATTTGACTGTCATTTATGAAGGGTCTATTGTGTGCAGGGTACTAGGGAAGCAAAGATAGAATGGAAAAATGGTCCCTGCCTCCAGGAAGCTTATACTGTATTGCACTTGGTCTCAGAGGTCCACTCTTAATAGGTGAGCCTGTGAGTCCCAGGTCTGAGACATGTAGACATGATGTGTGTATGATAAAAAAAGAAGAGGTAAGTTCTTTTGTATGAATTAGTCACAGGCTGAGCTTTGGTGCATTGCCTTCTGTGCCTTTTTGGCCTTAGTGGCCTTGAGGTGGCAGTGTGGCATAGTGGAGAGAGCACTGACCTGGGCGGCTTGGGCTCTAAAACCTATTATGTTCTCCTAGACGCTCTTCTGCTAGGTCTGTGCCTCACGAAGTCACGACCTTTCAGATCTTCAGTTTCATTTTCCATGACATTAGGATATAATTCCCACTGCTACCTCATAGGGCTTTTTAAAGACTCATATGAGACACTGTATGTGATAGCACTCTGCAAATCATAAAACTCTAAGCAAATGTCAGGCGGTATAATGATGATGATGGCTTCCTGGTGTTCTACTGTATTCCATATAGTTGAGATTTTTGGGGTAGGTGGGATCTGATTGTCGTGCTTTTATGGAGGGGAAACAATCATTTGGTTCGCATCAGCTGCTTCGTTTCAACATGATTTTTGTACATTGTTTCCCATTTTTGTAGGTGCAGTCATGCAAGAAAGCATCAGATTTGCCTCATCGGGGGATGATATTAAAATATGGGACTCATCCTCTATGGCGGTGATGGAACAGTTCAACCCCCATTCATCATCCCTTGGAGTTAGCTCTCTGTGTTGGAGTAGCAATAGTATCCTTTTCTTCTTAAGAGCTTTGGATTATAATTGAGGTTGTTTTGCAGAAATAATTTGAAATGTAGAGTCAGAGGGTAAATGAGGTCAGCTTAAAGCACAAAGGATGGTTTAGCTTAGAGAAGAGATAGTTTGAAACAGGGTTTCTTAACCTTTTTCATGTGTCATGGATTCCCTTTAGCAAGTGAATTCCTCCTTGGAATAATACTTATTGCCTATATTCATAATTAAAGGAAATGTTTCATTCAGTTAGAGACTAGTGAAAATAAAGATGTAATTTTCCGCGCCCCCCCCCCCAAATCTGGACTCCTAATTTAGAAGGAGAATATGGTAATTCTATGTATATTTAAAGGGTGGTTGTGTTCAAGAGGGGTTAGTCTCACTGTGCCTGGCCCTAGAGTTGACAGTTAGGACCAATGGATAGAAGTTGTATCGAGGCAAGCTTGGTTTAAAGAAGAACTTACTAACAGGTAGAACTGCCCCCTAAAAAACTTGAAAAGGAGAATTATACTTTCAACAGGGAGTAGTACTAGATCGTCTAAAGCCCCTGGAAACTGGGATTTTTCTTGTGTGGAAATTGACAGCATTTTAAACAAAATAATTAAGGTGTGTGATAAAGGTTTGAGTCTGGAAGAGGTGGAACATTACCCAATTGTTCCATCCTACTGCACTGTTTAGAACTTTTCCTTTCTTTTCTATCTTGGTTGAAGATTAGTAACCTCATCTCTTAAAATGGTGCAAAGCACCAACCTAAACTTGTCTGTCAGGGTTCTAAATTCACATGATCTCCTTTGTCGTAGGAGAAATAATTAGAATCAGAATATGAGAATGTTTAGCAATAGAAGGGACCTTAAAGATCATTGAGTCCTAATTCCTTCATGTTATTCTTTGAATTTTCATTGAAAACTTTTTTTTTAAAATCACCTTCATTTCTGAATACATTTTTCTCTATCGAGCGACCCAACCCTGTTAGTAATGAATAAAAAAAAAGACAGGAAAAAAAAAGCAAAACTAAACTAACACACCACCAAAGTTGGCAGTATATATAGTGTTACACACCATAGTGCTCCACCACTGCGAAATAGAAAGGGAGAAGGGTGTGTGTGTGTATGTATATATACGTATATATCTATATCTATATATAGATATAGATATTTATACACACACAAATGTATGCATTTGTGTTTCATGTATTTTTCTCCATGGCTAAGCTTGGTCATTTTCATTACATAACATTCTGGTTTTGTTTGTTTTTTTTGTCCTTTCCATTTATACTATTACAGTCCTTTGTGTGTATTGTTTTTCTGGTTCTGCTGACTTTACTCTGCATCAGTCCATAGGAATCTTCCCATGCATCACTAAAACCTTCCTATTCATTGTTTCTTGTGGTACACTAACATTTCATTCTATCCGCAGGTCACACTTTGGTTAGTCGTTCCCCAATTTATTAAACTTCATTTTACAGATGAGCAAAATGAGACCCAGAAAAGACTTAGCCAAAGGTAATGGTAGAGTTGGGACTAGAGAGCCAGTTTGCTTCCTAATCCAGTGTTCTTTCTGCCACACCACTATTATGCATGGACAAGAAAAATGGAGAGTGAAGCTTTTAAATAAAGGATTTTATTCCCTCCTTTACTTAATTATGGCCACAAGGATTTTGAAAATACAGTTTCCCATGGAGAAGCTAAAATTCAGCAGTTGATTTTCCTAGAACAAAATCCCAATACTAAAAGTATATTTGTTAGAATGTCTAGGGTATTTAGGAGAGCTTTATGAAGCCCTCTTTGTAACCTTTAATCTTAATACCTTTGATCATAAGGATAATGGAAATAAGCTGTAATTTCCTAAAGCATGAATTTTGCTTGGATTTAAATTTCTCCAGTCATCAGACACTGTATCTTCTTGTCTATGGTAGCCATTTGCTGTTTGTCAGGAAGGCTGAAATAAGAATACACAGAATGCAATTCTGTGACATAGTTATCCTAAACTTTATCATCCTTGTCTTTTAAATACTGCTACAACACATTGGTTTCTATTAAATGTTAAAACGACACTAGAACTTTCTGAAGATACTGTATCACAGAAGTAGAACCTTGACTGGATTAAGAAAATTTAATTCATTCTATGAGCCTTTTGAACTCTTTTTTTAAACTTCCAGTGAAGACTAGTATTTTTCATGACTTCAGTACTTTCTAAGCATTAGTTATTTGTTTAATTTTATCAGAAACCCAGGTGACTAAAAAAATCCCAAATTACAGTGTTGCTACATTTGGTGTCAGAAGATCTCATGTATACAGTAAATGCATTATTCTGTGAAGACATTCTAGACTGGTCTTTCCAGATAAGTTAGAATTATTTTCCTTGTTAATTGGAACATAAATTTGGAGCTGGAAAAGACTTTCGAGGCCATTGGGTTTAAGCCCCTTGTTTTGTGGATGAAAATAAAGTTTGGCTAAATGACTTGGCAACGCAACTAGTGAGTGTCTGAGTCCAAGATTTCCACCTAAGACTTTGTCACTCCAATCATAGTGTTTTTATTGACTTCTGAAAGTAAGAAAGAAAAAATGTCTTTCACATGCGTGGGTGTGTGTATATGTGTATATATACATATATACACATGAATACTTATACCCACACACATGTACATATGTGGCCTTCTTTTAGTTATCCTTTCTCTTTTTTTCCATGGGAAAGGTTGGGATAAAAGAATGGAAGGTAAGGAAGGAAAAAAGCAATCTTTCCAGTAATGTAACATTTAGCCAAAAATGAAAATATTACCTGTTCATTCAAGAAAAAAATAATTTCTTTATTCTAATTGCATAAGTAAATCACAAAGTAATGGCAGAATCTTAATTATTTTATGCACATCATTATGTGAATGAATATGAAAATAATCTCCCAGTAATACAACTTGGATTTCTGGAGTACAAAAAGACTTGTTCTCCCTCTTAGTTTCATCTAGACCAGAAGTGGGGGACCTACGGCCTCAAGGCCACACGTACTCTCTAGGTGCTCAGGTGCTACCCTTTGACTGAATCCAGACTTCACAGAACAAACCGAGACCTCAGGTTCCCCACCCCTCCTCTAGACATAGTCTGTGAATGTCCACAAAAAAAAAAACAAAGAAAAATGTTTCTGAGCTTATAAGACTTTCATTTATTGCTTGCAAGCAAAGTAAAATTCCCATTCTTAGTTGCAGTTCAGATCTTATAATTTTCGTTACTTGAGATTAAAGAAAGACATGTTTAACTTAATTGTTTTTTGCATTATTTATTTCTTATTTCATTTTGTTAAGAAAGACTTAGTAGGGTCACCTAGCTGACCCTACAGTAGATAGAGCAACTAGCCTGGAGTCAGAAAGACCTGAATCCAAATCCGACCCCAGACGCTTAACTAGCTTTGTGACCCTGGGCAAGTCACTTAACACCTGTTGCCTCCCTCCTTCTTTTAATATTATGTTTACTGTCATTAACATCCTTCTCATATTCTATACCAGATTATTTATTTTCAAATTTTTAGCAGAGAACTGAGAAATGGTTTGGATGTTTTTAATCTTTCTGGTGGGGGAAAAACAGGATGATATAGTTTAGAATGCTTTATTCTGTTAATTGGCATGTCAATCAGCAAACATTTATAAAGTGCTAGCTGTGCGCCAGGCACTGTGCTAAGAGCAGAAATGTAGTGAAAAAAGAGGCAAAAGATAGTCCCTGCCTTCAAGGAGCTTACAATCTAATGGGGGAGATAACTTGCAAACAAATATATACAAAGCAAGCTATCTGCGGAATCAGTATGGAATATTTAATGGAAGGAAGGCACTAGAATTAAGAGGGGCTGGGGAAGGCTTCCTGTAGAAGGTGGGATTTTAGTTGGGACTTAAGAGAAGCTGGAGAGGTTAGTAGTCAGAGTGTAGGAGGGAGAGCATTCCAAGTATGGAGGACAGCCCAAGGGAATGCCCAGAGCAGAGAGACTGAGCATCTTGTTCGTGGGGGCAGCCAGGAGGCCAGGGTCTGTCTTGAGCCCACATTCATAGATGAGATGTATTATTGATAATAGTTGCTATGGCTTTTGAGCTTACTGTGATATTTGAGAGATAAAATTTGAAATGCTGACTTGCCCTTTAAAAAAGAAGGGGAACTAGAGAAATACATTTATAAATGTTTCCAAGTGCTAGTGCAACCAGAAATGATAGTGTTTACTGAAACAACTTTAAAAAGCAGCAGTCTACCAGCTCTTAATACATTTCTTTTAACATTCTTCCAAATTTAATAAAATAGCTCTTTCTCTTTTCAAGGTTTTGCTTCTGCTCTAAAACTATTTAGTTACAAATGAACTTTGAGTAGATTTTCATGTATTGTTCAGTGTTCCATAACTGTTCATTTAGATAACTTTTTGGTGACTGCATCTGCCAGTGGTGATAAAATAGTCATTTCCAGTTGCAAGTGTAAACCAGTTCCACTTTTAGAGCTGGCAGAAGGGGTGAGTATTCCTGCCTTTTTTCCTTTGGTCTTTATCTTGCTTCATTCCCTGGTAGTATGTGGCACTTGCATCTAATTACAAAGATAGTTTATCATTCATTAAGAATGATACGTTAAATACAAAAATATGCTACAATGTAATACCTCCTAACAAATAGAACATACCATAATAACAAGTTTCCTTTTTAGCTTCCTACCAGAAAGAAGAATCACAATAGAAGGTGTGGTAATGTATTATTCTGGGGCTTGCATTCCCTGTGTCTAATTGAGACATCATCTTACTTTGTCCATTTGAGGAACACTGTGGCCCCCTGACTTTTTGTGCTGCTCAGTGACTGTTTTAGGAGGCTGAGCGTGGCTGAGATCAGTCTGATGATCAGATGATCAGAACAATCCTAGCTCTGGGGATTCAGCCCTCCCTTCGGCCCTGGTTCACCTCCAGGAGGCCTTACCTCAGCTGGTACTAACTACTCTTTCCACTGCTATCATCACCTTGAATGTAGTGCTAGGAAGATTGGACCTGCCCTTTATGCTCAGCCCAGCTTTGTGAAAAAGGGCAATATTCCAAAGGGATTTGTTAGCTAAGGTATCTTGTTTCTTCCTGATTTTGTTTGGATTATAGAATATACTTTTAAGTTAATACTGCCTTGCTTATTTTTGTTGCTACTGTCTTTTAAGGCTTTTCAAAGCCTTGGATTTACCACAATCCCTAGCCAGTGGGATAAACAGTTTAATCCATTCAGAAGAATAAGTGGCATTTTATCTCATAGGGGTATAAGCCAGTTTGGCTTAGAGGTTAATCAGCATTTTTTCTGCTCTCCTTTGTGGTAAACAATAGGCTGGTTAGGCTGATAGGTAGGGAAAACACAAATCCATATTCTTTACCACCTGTGCCAGAAGGTGATTAAATGTGGGAGAAATCTCCTATGAAAGCAGAGATAACTAGAAGCAGCGGAGAGATCTCAGCTGCTGAGAGGTATGAAATACATAATCACTGGTTTGGGGGAGAGCTTTTGGGGACCATAGTTAATTAATATGCTGTCTTATATGGCACCTCTGCCATTTCTGTACCATTGGATCTCAGTGATTCATTCATCACATATTAGTTAAGTGCCAACTAGAAGCAAGTGTGGCTTGGAATCAGGAAGAGCTGGACTTGGAGTTGGAAATAACTAACTTTTACATCCTGCCTTTGATACGTACAACCTTGGTGACCCTGGGCCAGTCACTTAACTTTGATGTCCATCAGGCATTTCCAAGGGTTGAATAGTCACTGTATTATAAAGCCCTCTGCTCCAAAGGTTGTTATCAAGCATGGGAGGTAAGACTGGGATATAGAATAGAATAGAGTGAAATACCTGTGAGAGACACAAATGAGCTAGGTACAAGAAAGCTAGGTAGTTCAGTGGGTAGAGCACCGGGCCTCCAGTCAGGAAGAACTGAGTTCAGATCTGGCCTCAGACACTTACTAGCTGGGTGACCCTGGGCAAGTCACTTTACATCTGTTTGCTTCACTTTGCTCATCTGTAAAAAGGGGATTATGATAGCACCTCCCTCCCAGGGTAGTTGTAAGGGTCAAATGAAATAATAGCTGTAACATGCTTGGCACATAGTAAAGGTGATGTGAATGTTAGCTGTTATCGTTGTTGTTATTATTGCTATTATGGTCAATCTCCTCTGGGTTTCTTGACTTCTTTCTTTATATTTCCATTAACCAGCACCATGGTTTAGGCCCTTATTGCCTCTCAGCTGGGCTACTATAGTAGCCTCCTAACTGGCTTCCTTGTTTCAAATGACGCTGGACTCTATCTGTCCTAAACTTCTTGATAGGCATCTGATCCCTTTTCCATTACCTAGATTGGCCTCCTGGATAAAGTTGAAAACACCGAGCTTTCTGTAATTTGGTTCCAACCTATCTCAGACTGCTTCTCTTTATGGACTCTGTTCCAGCTAAATTGGACTACTTACAACATGTTGGATGTTTTATGTTTTCCTGCCTCTCTACCCTTAGCTCTTGGGAAAGAGCCTGGAATGCCCTTCTCCTCCATCTTTTTGAAAATTGGGATTATTTGCCAAGGGCGACTTGAAGTACCACTTTCTCTGTGAAGCCTTCTTTAGTCTACTACAACTGATAATGATTTCCCCTCATTTATGCTGCAGCACTGCGCCCTCTTATGCACTTATATTCTCATTTGTATCATGTTTGTTCACGTAGGTGTAAGAGATACCTCATAGACTATAAATGGCTTGAGGGCAGGGTCTTTATATTTATCTTTGTAGCTTTCCTGTTGCCTAGCACAGTGCATAACATTGAGCAGGTGCCAGATAAATGTTGGAATGAGATTCAGAGGCAGATTATTCATTTATAGCTGGTTACTTAGCCTCATGCACATGGGTAAGTGTTTGAAAATTTTGAATCAACTAAACCACTAAACTTAAGCAAATATTCAAAGACAGTATCTTTTAAAAGATAAACATATTGAAAATATTAAATATTTTTATATGTTTCTGTTAAATATTCTTGTAACATGGACTTATTTAACCAACTGCTTTATTTTTACATCAAAAAATATGCCCATTGCTTCAAAAATCTTGGGGGTACAAGATCTCAATTCTAAAAAAATCCATTAATTATGTTTCTTAGTCACATTAATGAAACCTTAACATAAAAAGAACTCTTCTCTGTTCCTCAGGATAAGTTAACTGGTAAAGATGGATCTTTCACTGTGCCTTACAGGTTAGTTAGAGATTTTTAAGACAACTGAAATCCAAAGATGTGAGTCTTCTAAGAAAATTGCCTTTGCCTGTCTTTTCCTTAAAGTTAAATTTCTAGCTGTTAATATGTGCAGTCTGATTGTAGCTCTCCAAAAGAGAGAGAGGCAAGAGACAGAGAGACAGACAGACAGAGCTGGGAGGATGGAGAGAGAGAAATTAGGATTAGTCTTGGCACTAATCTTACTATTTTGTTTAGGATGAAGTGACTTCTCTGAATAGCACTTGCAAATAAATGACAGTTAATAGGTATTCTGTAGCTCTAGAGGTTTATTGAGTTCTGTAACAATGACTATTTTGAACAGAAAACTAAAACACCTTTCCAGTTAATGCTGGCTGCTGGAATAATTTTAGATGAAAAGAATGGCCTCTTGGAGGTTAAGCTGTGTGATTTCCAGAACATTTTATTGTAGATCTAACTTGCAGAGATCATAGAATCATGGCAAAGAAAGAAACTTAATTTATACTGTTAAGATCAAAGTCCTACTCATGCAAACTTGGCTGAATATATTTGTAAAGTAAAAAGAGAGCTTTTCTTCACACCATCAGTCTGCAAGAACACTTGTGATTAGTACAATTTATGCTTACTCTAATGCAGTTTGAGAATTTTAACAAGGTGAATGCTTTAAGGACCCATAGTTTCTTTGCTGTGGATGTTTTTACCACCTGATGCTACAGCCCTTCCATACCTTAGCAGACTTCTATTCAAGAATTACAGAGCCCAAAAACCCCATCTCTTTGTGGGCAACATCATGAGCCTTTCTGATCTTAAACCAGGTGGGTCTTTGGGCAACACCTTTCTCCCTGGACCTTCCAGTTTATTGGTATCTGTTTGTGTTCCTCTGGCACAATAATTGAGGACCCAGAGCCATCCTCCCCTTGCATGGTGAGGAGTTGGAGGAGGGTCTGAGTGAAAGAATGACAGAGTAATTAATGCCTGATGTCTATAAGAGTGCTTCACAGGTGAGAAAGGGCTTTCTGTATCATTCCGTGTTGGATCCGCAGATCCTTGGGAAGCAGATGGTACAAGGTGGTTGTTTTCCCCTTTTTACACTTGGGGTACCTGAGCCTCAGTTTTCTCAGTGACTTACTCAGGGTCATGTGGCTAATAAGAATTGGAGCTTGGATTAGAACTCAGTCTTGCGCTTCCATGGCCCTTCCTTCCACTGTGCCTTTTTGCTTCACGTGATAGGCTGATGAGCTAAACAGGCGAATGACCCTGCTGGCAAATATGGTTGGCAAAGACTAAACAAGACCTCTGAGAGAAAGGTTTTGAAGCCGCCTGGCCACATTTCAAGGTGGTCCCTCTGCTTACCACAATTACCTCCATTTTATGTGACAAGAATCTCAGGTGCTTTCCTTTATGCCTCCTTTTTGGTCAGGCATCTATATAATTCTGCTGCTGCATCTAGATTAGAAGATGTTGATCTGAAAATCCTTTAAATAACTTGATATTCGAGGAGCTTTCTATACATGCCATCAGACTCTTCAGAGATGAACCTTTTGGTGGTAAGCCCTTTCCTATCCAATGATGGAGTGATTTCAGTTCATCTTCAAGGCTTTTCTGATAGGCTAGAATGAATGGAATGCAACCGTTATGAAAATCTTCACAGGCCCATCAGTGTTTGATTATTATAGTTGACAGCAATTGGAGGATGCTCGTGGAGACATTGATGTTTCCTAAGCAGGCTCAAGAACTTGTTGATTTTCTAAAACAAACAAACAAAGCAGCTCAATTCTGTAAGGTACTCTGCAGTGTAGAAATAGGTTTTATTCCAAAGGTTCACTAGTAAGTTGGTTGTTTGAAACTCAAATTGTATTTCCCTTTAGCTGTTGTAAATGATGGTCAGGCTCCCCAGCTAGCACACAAAAAGCCTTTTGAAATAGCGACTGTGGGTCTTGAGTCCTGAGGCCAGCAGTGGGGAAGGCTGTGCAGTTCCTGAGGTGTAGTAAGAGAACTCCTATGCAGTGAGGCTTGACCTTGGCACCTCTGGTAGCAAGGTGGTGGGCATGGAGGGACAGGGCAGAAATTTGCTTAGGAGAAGGTTTCCTAAGTTGTCATAGAAGGACTCTGTTGTGGGTGGAAAAAGAGTCTGTGTTTATAAATAGTTAACTATCTGTAATGTTAAAATAACTTGGATGAACAAAAGTGGTCTATTGACTAAAAAGGAGTTCCATTTTCCATTATATTGTAAGTGAAAGAAACCTCTTTCATGACAAGATTTTAAGAACGTAGTGTGTAGGCGTAATTCAGTGGGAGGCTCTGGCTGGTTCCCTGGCTTGGCTCTGATCTATAGGTCACTGAAATGTCAGAATGACCTAAGAAGAAGGCGTAGCTGAAAATCTCTGAGGTCTGCTTGATCGTTAATATTTGATACATCATAATGCTCAGTTATCCATTGAAATTATATTCTTGAGCACGTCAATTTGGCATAAATGAAACACATGATGAGCTGTTGGGACCACCTGTGCTGCCCCTATATTGTGTTCATGCTGTAAAGTAGAGCCAGGAAAATGGAGTTGGAGCCTGACAGACTCTAAGTGGTTGAGTAGAGAAGTCCTTCCTCAGAAGGACAGAGATTATTGCCATATGTGTAACATAGTATGTGTTTGAGATCTAATAGCCAAAATCTTGACCTTCCTGGTTTACTGAAGAGATTTCCCCCCCCAATTTTTTTTTTGAAATTGGATTAATTTACAAGGAATACAGTTATTTACTTACATGTTTTTTTTTGTAGTTTGAATTTATGTGTGTACCCTGCATTGAGTTTTGCATTTTTTTTCTTTTATAGCAAAAGCAGACATGTATAAACTTAAACTCTACGTCTATGTATCTGGTTAGCGGAGGCCTTGATAACACTGTTAATATTTGGGATTTAAAATCAAAGAGACTTCATCGATCTCTTAAGGTAAGGAACTTTTTATGTTAGTTTACCAACTAGAATTCTCAGAAAAAATGTGGGATTTTTTTTTCTGTTTGCTGTACTAACCAAATTTTGTTTTCTAAGAATTTTTAGCGTTCAATCTAAAAGTAAGATGCTTCAGATTTTGTGACTCAGTAAAAAAATAGGCATTAGTAGGTCCTCTAGACACAAACCTTCTTTTCTTACACACTTTTTCTTGAAAGTTACAAATTGTTGTTGCATTTAAGGCTTTTCTCTTGTCTGTCTGTTTTAACCCAACAATAGAAACTTTTTTGAATAAAATGAACCACCTCATCATTTTTTATTAAAGCATTATTTGGTGTCACCACCAAGTTAATAAAAAGGAAACAAAGAGCTCTCGGGTAAATGAGAGAGGGAATAGCAATGACAGTTGTTATTGGACCCTGCAAATCATCAGAATCCGGAATTTTGACTCAGGTCCTCTAAAGTAGTCTCCTACTCTTGGGTTTTTGTTATTTGTTTTTTACATTAAAAACAATAACAACAACATGGAATGTATTTTCTTTGTTTTCAGTTTCTAAAATTGACTAAAATCTATGTGAATACCTATGGGTAAATTTTATAACAGTCATTTCGCCTTGGAAATGAGGCAGATGAAAACCTTATTGACCTTGATGTCATTGAGTCAGTTCAGTATAGTTAGATAAATGAACATTACAAAAAGATGAATGATTTTCTCTCAGCTTTAATCATATCCTTCAAAATACCTGTAATACTAGAACTACTTTTGTAATTAGAACCTTTTTGGGGAAGATGCCTGTTAGCTGAGATTGGAAGATGATCAACTTTTTACAATATGTGTCTGACAGGTAAATGGAAAGTTAACAAACACCTCCTAAAAGGGTGATACAGGTTTTCTTTAAAGTGGAAGTGATATGGGGCAGCTAGGATAGAACACCAGCCCTGGAGTCATGAGGACCTGAGTTCAGATCCGGCCTCAGACACATAACACTCACTAGCTGTGTGACTCAGGGCAAGTCACTTAACCTCAGTGGCTTCACCCAAAAAAGGGAAAAAGAAGTGGAAGTGATAAAATAAAACCATATTTAGATATATACGTTTATTGGAGAGGAGAGAGAATGGGAGAGCATTCCCTGAATTGAAAAGAAATTAGGATTATAACCTCAGTTGTATTACTTATATGCCCAGTTTTTTAGGTAAGTCACATAACTATTGTGCCTTAGTTTCTTCATTTGAAATTAGGAAAATATTAGTGTTTTTCATAAATAAAAGATGTTTGCATTGTACATTAAAAACAATTGAAATATTAGAACAGTAGTCCCACTTCCTTCCCCTCCCCTCCTTTCCCCTCTCCTTACAGTTATTGCCTATTTGAAGTAGCAGCTCTTCATTTGATTTAGAAAAGGAAAAAGAGCATTGATCCTTATAAGATGTTCAGAAAACCTTTTGAATTACATGCTGGTAGGTACATGAAGCCTGACTTCATCTTCCTAGCTGCTAGAGCCACTCTTCCCACTCTGTTTACTTATCTGTGCACATGTTGTCTGCCTCAATGGAACATAAACTCCTTGAGGGAAGGGACTTTCATTTTTTATCTTTGTATCTGCAGCACCCAGCGCTGTTCCTGGCTTATGGTGCTTAAAAAATGCTTGTTGGCTAGTGTTATAGAAAAACAGAGTAATGGCTTTTATCTTTCATATTAATGCTAATCAGACCATTACTAGCTATCTTGAGAGTGAGCTGGTTTTGTATCGTGAAAGATCTCTGGTGCCAAATTATCACATCTCTCTCTGTCTAGCCCTAACTTTTTCCTGAAATGAAGGAAATAGACAATCCCCATCGTGTGTTATTAAGTATTCCCTTTCTCCTAACCCTGCCTCTCCCCCTCCCCCACGTCCAAAGAATACTCATTGTTGTTTAGATATCACACTAGCCTTATGTAATTTTTAGGTGGAAGGACATGCTAAAGTGAAAACAGTCTTAGATTGACAAAAAATGTAACGTACCAATCAAAAGAATAGGCTATTAAAACAAATTTTAGGCATCATATTTTAATTTATCTCTTGCAGGATCATAAAAATGAAGTCACTTGTGTAACGTTTAATTGGAATGATTGCTACATTGCTTCTGGATCTATAAGTGGTGAAATTATTTTGCACAGCCTAACTACCAATTTATCCAGTACTCCCTTTGGTCATGGTAATGGCCAGGTATAGTATGGGCATTAATTAAATTTTTATTTCAATTTTGGATTATTGCATTTTAAATGGTGAAGGCAAGCTAAAGTTTGTTGGTTGAAATTGGTTTTTCGACCTGTTTTAAAACGTTTTATATTTCTTATGTTAAAAGTAATAGTTAATAATGTTCAAATAACTAATCCTACTGATAATCTATATAAATAGGTGGGATTTTTTGTTCAATCATTTTTCAGTTGTGTCTGACTCTTTGTGACTCCTTGTGCAGTTTTCTTGGCAAAGATACTGGAGTGGTTTGCCATTTCCTTCTGTAGCACATTTTACAGGTGAAGAAACTGAGACAGACAGGGTTAAGTGACTTGCCCAGGGTCACGCACCTAGGAAGATGAGTCTTCCTGACTTCAGACCCAGCACTCTCTATCCACTGAGAGCCTAGCTGCCAGAAGATACAGTTAATTTTGTTCCATTTTGTCTGTTTGAGTATAAGCATATCAGTGTCCTGGATGTCAGCAGGTGACATCGCTCTATAAATCCTGTCCCTTGATCCCAAGGTTTTATATAGGATTTCTGTTATAGTTCAGAAAGCACTTGTTGTACTTCATGTGCAGAACAGGGAAAGATAGGTATTCATGTTTACTAACATTTTTAATACATCTTATTGGTAGATAATGAAGGTTTTTATTCTTTTGTTTGTTTACAAAAGAAATGGTAACTTAACAAATAGCAAAACTTAACCAGGCTAATGTTGGAATATCAAGGGTACTTTTACATAAATGAAAAGATTGTTTCCGTGCTAAACACTTTTTTCAGACTGTTTTTTTTTATTTGCTAGAAAAGCCAGATCTTTACAAAAAGGGTTTTCTCCAAGTTCTTCATAAAAATTCAATTACCTTTTATGTTGTATGGTGGCTAAAGTTCTTTAAATGGTGCTTTGCCATATTTGTATAGTTGTATTAAAATGTTGTGTGATTTTTTGTTGTTGTTTGTTTTGCACTTCCTGCCTTATGTGGACAATATAGCATGAGATGTACACTTAGGTCCAACAGTACCATCCTAGTATTATGGAGGATTCACACATCACAGGATTGTAAAATGTGAGAGGTAAAAGTGATCTTAGAAATCATCTAGTTATTTTACAGATGAAGAAACAGAGGTTAAGAGAAGATCAAAGAGTGGCCCAAGGTCGTGTAGTTAGTGGTAGATAAGGTGGATTTTTAGTCCCCAGGGAATATGCTTTTTTGTGTAGAAGGTTAGCCCACAAAGTAGAATGTTTTTCCTTCACTGAAGTCCTCCTGACACACTGCCTCAAGGTATGCAGGTGGCTCCGGGGGCTTGAAGGTGATAGGAGCACCTGGAAACTCTGGGCATAGAGGGAAGTATGAACTCTAAAACACAGGCTATTGATGGGGACAGAATGCTACTTTTTGGCCAGCCCAGACCAGCGGGATTAGTATGAGGTAAGGATTGAAAGGCACAGTGGCTTCAGACTGTACACTCTCATATTCCTCCTTTCCAGGGAAATACGTTTGAACATTGGTCATTAGATTGGGAATTGCTTGAGATGAGAGTAAGGCTTGTCTTCCTTTCTCTTTGTATCCTCAGTGCTTAGCCTCATACTTTGCACATAATAAGTACTTAATACATGCTTTTCATTCATTTATCAGTGGGCAAGAAGAAGAGAAGGTTTTGATCCTAAGAGTGAAATGACCAGGTGCACATGTAAAGAAAATCCACTTGGCAGTGGTGTGGCAGAAGAGTCAGGGAAGGTTCAAGACCTGATGTCATTCATTCAGTCTAGTAGAGCTTTAATTCAGTGCCTGCTTACTGTGGTACTGTGTACTAGGTACTAAGGATCCAGGGTCAAAAATGAAATAATCCTTGTCCTAAAGAAGCTTAATTGTACCAAGAAAGGCACATGGGCAGTGAAATCAGGGGGAGGTATTGTTACATGCATATTTACAGGTATGTAAATATAAGTTAACTTGAGGACAGAGCAACCTCTAGCAATGGAAGAGATGAGGAGAGGCTTCACTTAGTACCTTACCTTACCTTAGTGTGGTACCTGCAGTGAAAGGTGGGGAAGCACCCTTTTTTAATTTTTTAATTTTATTTTTTTTTATTAAGCACCTATCATGTGCCAGGCACTGTGCTAAGTGCTGAGGATACAAACATGAAAAAGAGTGATGGTCTATGCTCTGAAGAAGCTTACAGTCTAATGGGGAAAACCACTCCCAAAGGGATTCTGAAGGGGTGGGCTGGAGAAGGCCTTCGTGGAGGTTTGGGGAGGAGCTCCTTAGCTCAGCCCTCCAGTCTGAGGGTGCTGATGAGGGCTGAGGGCTGAATTCTTGAATCTCTCAGGGTGACAAGGTTCTTGGGCCTCTGATAGAGAGCTCTAAAGGAGTGCAGCCACAAGTGGGAAATGAAAGTACATGAAAAAGTGAGTGAGCCAGATTGGCTGGCATGCAGAGAATGTTATGAGAAGTCATATTCAATAAGTCTGGAAAGCGAGGTGAGTACCAGGTTGCGAAAGGCCTTGAATGCCAAGTTGAGGAGTTTCTGTCTCATTGCAGAGGTAGGAGGGAGCTAATGAAGAATTTTGAGCTAGGAAATGACCTGCTTTGATCTGTTTTAAGATTAAATTGGCAGATGTGGGAAGGATGGGTTGGAAAGGGGAGAAACTGGAGGTAGGTGGACCCTCTTACAGTAGTTCAGAAATGAGGGTCTGAAATAAGAGAGTTGGAATTGGGAGTGGAGAGAAAGAAACAGACACTCAAGAGGTTGTTTCAGTGTGAGTGACAAGTGTTGGCAACTTATCGGTATAGGGAGAATGTCAGTTTTGTATCTGAGGTTGTAAACATAGGTGGCTGCAAGAATGGCAGTGCTCTAGCGAGAGATAGGGAAATTTGGAGAAGGGCTAGGTGTAGAGGAATGTGGTGGATTCTGTTTTGAATTTGTGGATTTGTGTTAGTGATTGGACATCTCTGGGGAGCTGCCTAGCGGGCAGTGGCTGGTGCCTGACTAGAGTTGAAGAGACAGAGTGGAGCTGAACATGTAAGTTTGGGATTCATTTGCCAAAAGAACCCCTGATTGTTACTGACATCCTTGAAGCGGAGAGCACCTAAACAGGGGGGAGGGTAAGAGTTCAAGAAGGAGGCTTGGGGGACGCCACTCTTTAGGACACAGAAGGAATCGTCCAGCATTTACGGGAACAATGAGGAGAGTGGCGTCTTGGGAGGTCTTGGAGGAAAGAGTGTCGCAGAGGAGGGAGCGAGTGGTTAACAACGTCAGAAACTGCAGAGAAGTCATGGATGATAAGAATAGAGAAAAGATCATTTGATTGAGAAGTCAAGAAATCATTGGTGAACTCGGACAGAGCAATTTCATGTGAATGGTGGGGTTTGAAGCCAGATTGCAAAGGATTGAGGCACAGTGGGAGATGAGAAGGTGAAGACAAGTATAAACTGCTTTTTCTAGGATTTCGGCTGTGAAAGGGAGGAGATCATATAAAATGGTAGCATGAGGGGATGGCAGGTTCAAGTGAAGGTGTGCAAAGAACTTGAAGACTTGGTTATGTTAGGCAGTAGGAGGAAAGGAGCTGGTAGTTGTGAGGCAGCTAAGTGATGCAGTGCATAGAGTTCTGGGCTCAGGAAACTCTGAGTTCAAATCCAACCTCAGTTACTTATTAGCTGTGTGACTGTGGGCAAGTCACTTAACCTGTTTGTCTCAGTTTCCTCAACTGTGAAATGGGGATAATAGTAATAGCAACTACCTTGTAGTGTTATTGTGAGGACCAAATGAAATAATTTTTGTTAAGCGCTTAGTAAGGTGCCTGGTACATAGTAGATGTTTAATAAATACTTATAGATAAGGAAAGATTGAAGATGAGAGGGCGTAATTGTGAGGCTAAGCTCCTAGAGGACATAGTAGATGGGATCAAGGGCCCAGGTAGAGGCAAAAAACAAGGCCACCTATTTCTCAGAAGCTGGAGCAAAGGAGAGAATAGGATGTATTATGGAGGGTTTTCAAGTGTCGAGTAAGGAGGAAGATTTGATTCATTTAGAATGAGCTTAATTTTCTTAGTAATGTAGGAGCTAAGGTCCTTTCCTAGGAAGAAGGGGAGTTGGAGTCATGAAGGGGGGCCTTGAGGATAGAAGAGGAGGTTTGGAATAGCTGCTGAAGGGAGTGTGAGAGGGAATTAATGAGCTAAGAGCAAGAGGGTTGAAGCAGTGAGGGCCCAGTCAGGATTAGATATCACAGAATTGTAGTGGACCCAGTTTGTATCTTTGTGAGACTTTCTACCAGTATTTGAAGGTATTCACGTAGGAGTAGAGAAGACAGGTGGTTAGGGGTAATACAGATTTGGGATCTGGCAAGATGTTGGGGGCAAATAGGGTGAATTTGCACAGATAAAAAGATAGAGTACAGTGTATGACTGAAGTCAGTACCATATTCATGACTGTAAAGGGAACAAAGTGAGACCAAAGCAGTGGTGTTGGACCGAGAGAATGGGGAGGGCAGGGGGGCGAGAGCTCGTTGTGAAGATAAAAATAGGCTTAGGAAAAACAAGGCAGAGGCCACAGAGGAAGGCCACATGGCAGGTGATGATCAGAGAGAATTCTCAGGATTCTGGGTCATGGAGTTAGCACGTAGCATGGCCTGTGGTGACAACAGAAACCGACCATCCCTGTGGGTAGTAGAAGGAAAGTGAAGACAGGAAGTGCAAGGCTCTTGACTGCATCACTGGGTGTATCAAGAGGCCCAAATGTGAGAGCAGAGGAAGACTAAGCTAGGTAACTGACCCCCCTGAGGCATGGTGGAGGGGTGCATGTGGTGGCCATCTCTGATGAAAATATCCTGGCTAAAACAGACACACTCTTGAGTATTCTTATTTAGGAAAAATTAAGCAGTTTTCTTTGCTGGATAATGAGATCACTGCATCTTAAAATAGACTTTTGGGATAGCTTAAGAGAACATTTTTAAAAGTTTAATCTCTTTTAAAATTAGATAATTATTAG